CTTTAAATAGGATTACTCCCACATACATCCTTAGGACCGTTCACCGTATCTCAGGACTGGAAAATACAAGTGCCTATTCCACATTTCCAGGTGGAGTTCTAATTTCTTCTTAAATTTAAAATGGCAAAAATAGAAATATTTATTTTTTTTCTTCCAAAATGGTCTCTCTCTCTCTCCAGCCATCCTCATCTCATTAAATAAACATATAAGCACATATTTAAATACAATCACCAAGTGTTTGCTATGTGCCAGTACTGTTTTAATTGCATTACAAAAGTATCCTTTAATCTCTGATACTTTGCAATCTTGGTCTTCCTTTCTTCTTTCTTTCCTTCCTTCCTTTTTTCTTTTCTTTTCTTTCTTTCTTCTTTTCTTTTCTTTCTTTCTATCTTCCTTCCTTTCTTTCCTCTTTCTTTTTATTCCTTTCTCTCTCTCTCTCTCTTTCTTTCTCTTTCCAATGGAGAAACTGAGACACTGATGGGTTGAATATCTTGCCTAGGGTCCCACAAGTGATAAGCAGTAGAACCAGGATTCAAAGCTAAGTATCCTGTCCCTAAAGACTGTATTGTGATTTTTGTCACTATGAGATTTACCACCTGTGAATGTGTTTATCTTATTTACCAACTTTTTGAAGTCAAAAATTTTGTAAATTTGTGCTATAGATTCTAACTTCAAAATTCACTTTATATGGATCATTAAATTCCCTAACACTAGTAAATCAAGCTACTATTCTCATTCACATGGTAGATTGCAATAGGTTTCTTACTCTTCTCCCTGTTTCAATACTGCAACTCCACATTCATCCTCAATATGTACACACAGTGATCTTTGTAAGAAACCAATTTGGTTATTTTTCCCTCCTTATTAAATCTTTCCAGTGGTGTCCCAAAAAATCCAGCTCCTTTATTCTGGCAAAAAGGGCTGTGAATAATCTGTCTCTTGCCTATTTTAAAAACTTCTTCTACCATTTCTCACATTGACCACAATTCTATAGCCACAAAAAAATGAAATTTATTCTGTTTTTCAAATAGAAACCTTTCCTTTGAACTGGATGTTCTTGCTGTCTGTAATGTTCTTCCCACTGATTTTGCATAGTGGCTCCTGTTTTTCATAAGATCTGAACTATTTACTCTCTCATATAACTCACCTTCAAATCTCTGCAAACCATAGCCCAATTTGAGATCAACTGATCTATCTACTATTTATTTATCTGTTATCTAACATTTATATGTGTGTGTGTGTGTCTATTCATCCATCTCCTCTCACAATTATAATCTATCTCCACGAGAGCAGAGACTTATGTGTCTTGCTCACTTCTGAATTGTTAGTACCTAGAATAGTGTCTGGTATATACAGAAGGTACTCAATAGGTAACTTTTGAATAACTAAATTCATACATAAATGAGAAAACAATTTTAAGAGAGATATACTTAAATTTATAATCTAATCTTAGATAAAATCTTGACCACATAGTTCTTTCACTAGTAGCTATTTTCAAAAGTCTAAAGAAGTTAAGTTTCCTGTTTTATTAGCAATTCTCTCTGGATTTCACAATATTATTGCACCATCAACTGTGAAATGTAAGAAATAGCTCAAAAGTATGCATATAGTAAGATTATCATGTAATCCTGGAATTGTATTTTCTTTAAATATCTAGTCTTTACATATACACATTATGATCATTTAAATCATAGAGATTTAAGAATAATTAATTCATGATATAAAGTTCATTTTCCTGTTTTTTTTTAATAGGAAAATGATCTGTTCTGGGCATCACTGTTCAATAGAAAAGAAAGTGATCAATAAAGTTTCTTACTAAAAAACATGAAGAATACTGAAAAAGTCTAATGAAGAAATGCTGTCCATCTGGACTAAGATCAAAGGCTGCTGGAAGGACACTCAGCGATATTATTAATACAAGAGACAGCCTATCGTGTATGTTCTGCAGCCAAACTCTCAGGATGATCAGGGGAACACATAAACAACTGAAATTGTTTTCTCTGACATTGGACAATTTTCTACTCAAAGACTGCTTAGATTTACTTCTCTGTTTGCTGCCAGTTACTCACTTTCCCTAAATTTGTACAAAAAAAAAAATACACTTTTTCTAGTTTAGTTGGTTTTCCCTGCCCTCAATATAAGGCCCGTTTTTGCCTCTCTGTTTCTTGAATCAGTCTACCAGTTAACAGGTTCTTCTGTGAGAATCAGTTTCCTTGCAAAACAATGAACCAAATATTTTTGACTTATACTTCAAAAAGATTTAAGATATCCTTTAGTTTCTAGCAAATGACATTCCCTTATAATTGACATGTTAGGAAAGAAATAAAGGCAGATGAATGAATGAATGGATAGATGGATGGATAAATAAGTCAAATGAAGGAGTATACCATTTGTTACTCTTTGTTAATTTTGCTTTAATTTTTCTCTCTACAGCACCTCCTCCTCCTTCCCATGTATGGCGTCACACAGCCTTGTTCCTGACTCTCCTATGCCTTCTGCTGCTCGTTGGATTGGGGGTCTTAGGAAGCAAGTGTATGTACTAACTTTGTTTTTTTTTTTTTTTTTTTTTTTTTGAGACAGAGTATTTAATTGTGGCTTTATTTTGCATCTTTGAT